AAACCTCACGCAGAATGAAGGTGTTGTTGTGTACTACAAGAGCAGGCTACTTGTGTCGGTGGAAGAAGCTGTAATTGAAGACGCAAACTGTCTTGTAATTACCGTAAATAAAGACACGGTGGCATTGGCCATTTATAGACCACCGGGATACAGAAATGTTGATATATTTTTGCAGTCTCTCAACCGTGTCCTAATAAAGTATGCGACTATACAAAATGTAATATTACTGGGAGACATTAATATAAACATATCCGAAAATGGTGCTGACAGCAATCGTTCTGCATATCTAGATATGATGGCATTCCACGGTATGTTGCCTGCATACACGGCTCCCACACATAGTAAAGCATGTTTGGATCACGCATTTCTGAGAACCAAATTGACTGCTCGTTGTCTTATACTCAGAACGACAATTACAGATCACTACAGTGTTGTTTTGTATATGGCTGGTCTCCCGAGACAGAAACCTCCCAAAATTGTAAATTATTTAAATCACGAATATCTTACTACGGAACTTATGGATGCCAACTTTGACCCATTGTACAAAATCAAAAACACTAATGACGCAGCTAATTTTCTTCATGATATCATATACAGGGCTATTAAAAATAATACAAGGGAAGTCAAAATATCGAACAGGAAAAAGATATTAAAGCCCTGGATAACTCCGGGTATTCTAAAGTGCATTAAAAATCGCGATAATCTACATAAAAAAGCAAAAAAATACGCTGACAATGAAATACATAAAACTACCTATAAACGATATCGAAATTTTTGTTCATCCTTACTTAAAAAACTTAAAAGAGATTATGAAAAACTTCAATTTGAAAATGCAGGCAAAAACAGCAAAAACATTTGGAAAGTTGTTAAAAATATTACGTACTCAACGAAACCTAAAGACAGCCCAATTGAACTTATTAACACGAGTGACCCTCTGAATTCGGTTAACAATGTTAATCAGTACTTCGCAAATGTGGGCAAATCGCTAGCGGAAAAAATAATTAAGAATAATTATAATAATCAACATCCAAAACACTATACGGTGAACTCATGTAGCCATTCTTTTTGTCTGCTTCCTACGGACGAGGATGAGGTTATGTCGTTAATAACGGGGTTAAAAAGAGACTGTTCAGTGGGAATTGATATGATATCTGGCGACATCTTGAAATCAAATATAAACATTCTGGCAAAACCTATAACACATATATGTAACTTGTCACTGGAAACTGGTGTGTTTCCGAAGATCTATAAGAAGTCGAGGGTTCATCCGATACATAAGGGAGGTGACAGAGAATCCGTCTGTAACTACAGACCGATCTCGATCCTCCCTACCGTATCAAAAATCTTAGAGCGTATAATTAATAAAAGACTTGTAAACTACCTAGAAAATAAACAACTTCTTTCACATGCACAATATGGTTTCAGAGCCAGGAGATCCACTGCTGATGCTGTGTCAGAACTAACAAATTATATAGTTAACAACCTAGATAAGAAGAGGAAATCCATTGGAATATTCTTAGATTTGGCAAAGGCATTCGACACAGTCTCTGTTCCTATTCTGTTAACTAAACTCGAAAACCTGGGTATCAGAGGTCTTCAATTGGAATTGTTCAAAGACTATCTTACTGATAGAACGCAATGTGTAAAGATCGGCAATACCATCAGTGACGAGGTTCCGGTGACTTTCGGTGTCCCGCAGGGTAGTATTCTTGGCCCGACACTTTTCTTAGTGTTTATAAATGATATATGCCAATTGGTGTCTCCAGATTCAAAGGTTGTTGCTTTTGCTGATGATACGGCCCTACTTTTTAGTGGTAACTCCTGGTGTGATGTAAATGCGAAAGCGCAACTGGGCATGAACACTGTGAACAACTGGTTAAATAAAAATTTGCTCACATTAAACGTAGGAAAAACGACATATATAAATTTTTCAATTCAAACAAATGATAAGCCAGATCCCGCTTTGAGAATTATCTGCCATTCATGCTCAAATCCAGATGACACTACTTGCCAATGTCCCAAACTGAAGAATACTGTGGTCACGAAATATCTAGGAGTAATGATTGACAGAAATCTTAAATTTCATTGTCATATAAATCTCCTATCGGCGAGAGTGCGTAGACTAATAGTTATATTTAAAGCCTTGAGAAATACTGCTCCTAAAGCAGTTTTAAAATCGGTCTACTACGCTCTCTGTCAGTCTCAACTTGATTACTGTATCACGACATGGGGGGGCACATGTAAAACTCACCTTTTAAAAGTCGAGAGATCTCAAAGAGCCCTTCTAAAGGCTGGGTTGTGTCTACCTTTTTATCACCCAACTTCTGACCTTTACTCGAAATGGGAGGTTCTTACTGTGAGGCAGTTATTCGTCCTGAAAACGGTTGTAAGACAGCATGCACTAACGAAATTTGAACCTGACAAAATCGAAAATAAACGCCGCAAACATACAGTCAGTTCTTCATCATCCTTCAAAACTAGGTTTGCAAAAAGATTTTTATGTTACCAGGGTTCTAACTTATACAACAAAATAAATAAAGAATTAACACTTTATTCCTTGCCAACAACAAAATGTAAGACATTGATTTCTGACTGGCTAAAAAAACTGGACTATAACGGTACAGAAAACCTTTTGCACTTCAACTGAATTGGTTGGACTTACGTTTATCACTTGCACCAAACACGACCGTCACACAGACTGGTGCATTTCCCCACCATACGTTGCACGAGACTTCACACTAACACTACACGCATTATACACTCGCAGTTACACAGCATAGAAACACACACACTAAGGCATGTTGTGAATAATCTTTTTTTCTTCTACCCGAAATATTTTTTTTTTCTCCTACTCCTTTGTGTTTATGTTTGCAAACTTAATTGTAATACATCTTATATTTGTTGTGTTACTCTTCCTGTTCTTCCGTGGGGTGGGGACCTGGAGATTTGTAATACAGGTATTTTACACCTAACACAGACTCCAGCTCCTCACAATGCCATAAAAAATTGATTATAAAAAAAAAAAAAAATTGTTAATGTGTGTATGTGAGGAGAAATAAAGAAATTTTTATTTATTTATTTATTATTAAAGAGTTTCGAAATGTTGAGGCGAGTTATTTACTCTTCTTGATAATGTAAATAAATATTTTGAGCATTTATGCAGGGAAAGTGTGACCATATTTATTTTTTGTTTATTTAGACATAACGAAATGTCTGTGTAAACGGACAAAGTATAAGTGATTATTAGGAATTTCAAAATTGTAGTACTTGACAATTTCTTTGCGCAACTGGTACTTATCACACTGAAGACCTTGTGATCATACAAACTATGAAGAGTTTAATTTTTACAAATTGGTGTAAATATTTTGAATATGTTAATAATATGGCGCGATTTGTTTGTCATTATTTATATAATTTATTAGATGAAATATTATTTCATCTAAATGGTACTTCAACCTTGAAGTAGAATGATGAGAACTTACAATTTTATTCCCATAGGATCCCCGTTGAAAATCATTCTCTAAATTTGTTCATACAAAGTAGTCTCTATACATTTAAAATAAGGTCTATAATGTAGTTAGGGGAGAACGGTCACCGGTGACCGCTTGGGGATATATGGGTTCTAGAGTTTTACAATAGGTAAGATTTTTCCATGAAGATAAATTCTTTTTATTTCATTAGGAGTATATTTTTGTTGATCTAATCCCTGAAATGTTTAACAACTCAATAAATAAAATTGCATATTTATGATAGTATTTTTAACAACATTTTCTGTGTACATTTTACACAGAAGTCTGAAGAAAACTACTAGTATCAAAATGAAATAAACGAAATAATTGTTAAACTAACTTGTCTAGACAATTTTCAAAAGTAGAGTGCTCTTACATGCGTATTCACAATTTAAGCTGCCTGTCGCAAAGAGGTTTTGGTTGCATAAATTCGTGCTGAATACGAGTAAATCTGGCAAATTGCCAAAGTACTCACATTAGCGAATATATGATAATATTTAACGATGACAATTAGCTTTTACAATACACTAAGGATTGTGATACTTGTGTAATGCACTTTGCTTATACTTTGACGCTCTAGATACCACGTAGGAAAGCCAGGATAATTATTATCTATTCTTTTTTGTATTTTCAATATTACTGCTCTTATATGACTTCTCGAAGACTCTTGAATGCATATTTGGACAGTGTCTGTCTATTGGTAATCTCCTGACAGAACATTAAAAGCAATTTATGCCCATATAGGTACTAGATAAAAGCCATTGTGTCTTACAGTCACCACAACAACCAACGGAGTCATCGACGAGATATAAACAAATAAAAAGTATCAATATTTTATTTTTATCGTACCAATAGTAAATAGATGGAGAGGGAACTCTTTCCTCAAATTTACAACAACCGGCCCACGGGTCCTGTTACCTCGTTATATTATTGAATAAAGGCCCAAAAAGGGGTCTCACGAAATCCAACGTGTAACCAAACTAAATTACGGAAAGGCCCCAAACTGATGAACTTAACAAAATTAGAGCGGCTATTTAAATAAAATTTTCAAGGTGTTTATTTGGGGTCGAAAAATGGAGTAATTTGTATGGAGGTAGTTGAATTTGTTTTTGAAGTACAGTTAATTTGGACTTTATTGATGCTTAGTTTGATTAATTTTTATATTATCATGTTTTTATTTCATATTAACAATATGAATGAGTGTAGGTTATTTCGTAAATGCACCCACAATATAGTGGAAAAAATTTATGACAGGATTAAAATTCACTCTTCAGTATACACTTACACTATTCACACGACTGTCTTCAACTGTCTTAATAACATTTCTTCCTCCAAAGTTACTTCACGTCAAAGGGGAAATGTTTGAAAAATTACATTAAAATATGAAGTAACGTTATATTCTGTTGTTCCAGATGTCTGAAGGGCAAGAAAATGAAGGTCACCTTCATTCAGCATCACTTGTCAAGCTGAAGATGTGGTAGTGCCTCCAACATGGATATCCTGACCTTGGTGACGTCATTACTCGGACTAATATGCTTTTGCTCAGGTAAGATCTTCAATAGATGTAACAACATTTGTTTTGTATTGATTTCTGGTAAAAATCACTAAGCGATAGCTAATAAGCGATAAGATCGCCTTTGTGCCCATTATTATTTTTATTTATGTTTGTCATTTCCTTTTTTGTGTGTATTATATTATTAATGGAGTACAATAAAGTTGTATTTTATTCTATTCTATTCTTTTGTATGTGTTAATTGAACTAATAGTAGTCTTCATGTGGTCAAATTTTTGTTCAAGTCAAATTAATGTTATCAGTGAATATGTAATAATTACGTATGATTCGTAAACACATATTGTAAAAAAATAAAAACTTCGTTTGTAATGTCTGCATTTCATTCAGAAAAAATAGAGACAGAAAATAGTTGACAGATGCTTATTTGCATTCACATGAAAATTAAAAATATTTCTATCGGTCATGCAAAATATATTGAACAGATTTAAGAAAAAAATGTACAGACGTAATAGAAACTTTTTCGTTTCTAAAACAAACGACTATCGCAAAAAGACCACACATTTCATTCCTACTTCAAATCCACGTCAAACCAGCCCTTGCCAATACATAAATACTTAAGTGCAATAGGGGTGACACGGTTATTTTAGTGGCAGTGTTGCCACAAATCTAAGATGGTACGGCAAGGCACTAAATATCTGGGGAGCGCTACCCCTGGGACCAAGGCTATTAGAGGTGAACCTTGACATTACAATTCTTGTGGATAATTTCAGTTTTGTGTTCTGATAATTGGCTTATTTTTGTTCGTTGGGGTGTGAGGATACAGTTTTATTTTGTTAGTGCAAATAACATTGTTAATAGATGGTATTTTATTTATTATCATGGAAATATACCTCTTGTTCATCGATTACCTATGTTAACTTACTTAAAATTGAGGGTTTTGGATTAGAAGATTACATTTAAAAAACTGCCTCGTTGGCCGAATGGTTGCAAGTGTGGATACCGGGCAAGGGGTCTGTGGTTCGAATCCCGGGTCGGGCAAAGTATTACTGGGTATTTTTTTAATCTCAGTAATAGCATAGTGTCTGCAATTGTGCCGAGCAATAGTTTCTCCCTTAATGGGACTCATAACATAAAATAGTAAAAAGTGTGTGTTACATTATACAGTGGCATTAATTGCCGCAATGTGCACCTCTGCCTACTCCTTCGGGGATAAAAGGCGTGATGTTATGTTAAGTAAATAAAACAAATCAGCACAAAATTTTAGCGACTAATTAAACCAGAATAATTAAGGTTATTAGTTTAATTAACGTCTCCAAAATAGTACTTCATATAACGTAACCAAAAAAAAGCAACAACAAAAGTTAAAGGCCGCTATACACCCAATAAAAACAGACCACGTTTTTTAAAACCGTTAAAATCGTGTTTTACAAATAAACACAGTAAATGATACTCAGGGGACGAATATAAAGCGGGAAGCGTAACTTATTGACAAATCTCATTAGGTTAACAAAATACATGTGTGTCCCGCATCTGTCTATCGCATATTTTACAATCAACAGCGTAGAAAAAGCCATATCTGGTCATTGTCGTACTAGTAAAGGTAGGTGTTGCTTTAATGCTATTAGTTTAAGCTACGGCTTAGATAGACTACTTAGAAATCATGATTATAATCAGTACTTTGAAGTTGGGCTAAAATAAAAAATACATCAAAAAGAACATATGCCACGACATCCCAAATAGATGATTAGATCAGAATTTGATAACATTTAACGTAAATCTTAGACACTATTTTTGTTATAGAAGTGAAAAATTACAGATGCAAAAAGCAAATGCAGTATTAGTACATAAATCACAAAAACAGGGTGCCATTATTTCATTAACAGTACCCACACAAGTGGCTCATCAAAGCGTAAAGAAGTTAAGCCAGTGTTAAACGATGCTTTACTTTTGGAACTAATGCGATACTTTGACACAGAGCAAAAAAGTTTTTCATTCAATGATAGCGTGACAAAATGATTTTCCATTGATATTTTTTTGTGAAGCGTTAGATTTTTGTTCTGAATAATACAAAAACTGTAACAACAATGTTGCATATCAAAATAGTTGAAACACAAACTGATACAAAGGAATTCGTATACGTACTATAATTATTATCAATAATATATAAACATATTAAAATATTATTTTTATTTCTGAAATCAAACTTTTTTGTGTAGCTGTATTCCGAATACAGGCCATTTCTTTTAAAAGTTCGGTAAAAGTTTTAAAATTTCATTGTTTTACGCATCGCCTCAAATGGATTTTTTTTTTGTTTTAATGGACTTTATTGACTTGTCTCTGTTCGGGTCGATAGGGTTTACGGTAAAATCTGGATAAGTGCAAAATTGCAGTGTCCTTTCTAAGCAAATTTTGTTTTATTCACTTTAAAGGATCAAGTACAAACATGCCAAAACTTGTGTGGTATATTAAATTTCAATGAGATGTCTTATTTTTTGTAATAAAACGAGTAATATTAATGCAGGAAAACGCAATGTACCAAATAGAAATTTAATTTTTTTAAAGCACAAACAACCTTGAACATACTTCGATAACCAACTAAGCGAAAAAAGTAAAAAAACACCAAAAAGTTTTGCTTGCAAACGGTTGGTACTGGCTGGATTTATAATAAATACAAAAATAAAAAAAAACTTGCATGCAGGATACAATAGATTTATTCGTTTAGTATACTTCATTGTTCGCTATTTGAAAAATGGTTCGAATCTGGAATGCCTACACAAAGCTGTGACGTTTATGAACGTTGACACGTGTGTGTGACCCTCAATAAAATACTTTTTTCTTTGCCAGAAAAATAATAAAATACACAATTTCCGCTTGTTATAAACTCCATGTAAATCAATGTAAATTGAGCTTTGTTCGTTAAATTATAACTGAAATCGACCGCGTTCATATTTTGAATTTGTGCGGCCATATTTCTTTACAATAATTATGAGCTACTGTTGAATGGCGTAGATGGAAACAATGAACGTTAAAATTAAAAATAAATGATTTAAAATCAAGCTTTTACTGCCGAAGAATATGACAAAATGATAATGTACACAGCTCTAATTTATAAACAACTTTACAACATTTATAATATCTGAAAGACCAATAAATATGGATAACCCACGCAAAACTTATTGGCAAATCATGAAACGAGGTCTGTAGGGACTCCCATATTTTGTCACTCTCGCAAACTAGTCGACATCTACAAAATACTATTGACCAAGTCTCACAATGTAGTGACAGTGCCAACAAATTGTCAATACTTTGTTTGCAAAACTATCGTTTATTGTGAAACAAAGTACATATTGTAGTATCATTCGTACTAAAGTTAAGTTACAAATAGATTAAAATAAAGATTTTTTTATTCAAAAAATCTCAATAATAAAAGAAAACTAGAAAGTGTATTTTGTTTTCGATAAAGACTCATATTGGAATTAGTAAATTAATCCACTTATAGATGGGCCGTGTGCTTTGCTTGTCCCCGTCGTGGCATAAAAATACTATGGTGAGGCTCAACCTCTTAATGAAATTAAAGGCTAAATCCCACAATCCCTAGTTTTCCCCAAATATTTTTTAAAGGTCTCGTAACATAATAAAAGTGATATCAAGATGAAATCGTCTGGAAAAATAGGTTTGTTAGTGAAATGGGAGTCGTTATTTTCTTATGTTTTTGATTGAAGAAACATAATATCCTACTAGTCCTATAATTACTAAAAATACTTCAGTATACCAAGGACTTTATAAAGATCACAGCGAATTTCTTATCTCCAATCTAAATATAGTCGTTGCAAACTAATCAGTAAGCAAGGAGCGCCTTTCAAGAACTTTTTTGTTTCAAAGATCAGATAACATTTGAGTTTGCAAACTACCATTTTTGTTTTTTTTTTCGAGTAAAGAGTACCTGGTTCTAAATAATGGCTTCCGATTTTGTATTTTATCTTGAAGCTTCTATTTAAAACCTCTTTGGAAGCTGTTTTTTAGTTTCCTCGGATCCGTTTATTCAGCTAGCACTAACGGGTAGGTTTTTTGTTTTTCTTTCGATAAGAGATAGATGAAGGCTAATTTATTTGAAAGACTCGTTCGATTTTTAAAGGACGGTAAATAAGAGCGCATTTTTTTTATTTTATTTTTTATTCATAACAACTGGTGATTCTATTAAATACCTACTCTTATCTTCGCTTACAGTTTTGAGAATAAAATATGCAGGGTTACGTCATATTTAGTTCTACGTTATGAGGTCAAATATTTATGTTTTGTGTTTATTTGAAAAATCTCACATTCTTCTTTTGAGATTGTAACTGAGGTCAAAGAATAGATATCACATAAAATATTCAATTATTCACCTTATTTTATTTGATGTCTTTTCTAACAACCGATCTTTGACCATCTACAATTTTTATAGCGTATTGTAATTCCAAAAATACAAAAGCTGTAGGTGTTTTTAACACAATACAACATGAAAGATTCGGCATTATAAGAGTCGTATATTTAAAATCTAAGCACTGTTTGTGTTGTATCAAAATCTGTTATTCCATCTGCCCACGCGCCGAACAGAGAGAACAACAAACCGTCCTTTAGAGACGGTACGACTGTCGCCGACGCATTTCCGTAAACACCACTGTCAAATGGCTACACCTAGCGAAACCAAATAAACTATACCACGAAAACATAAACTTCAAACAAAACGCAACTCTGTCACGTCACCATAAAGTTTAACGTCCCACAAGAAAATTTGGACAGCGAAATTCGTTGTCATTTATTGCACGGATCGCTGCCCTAGTTCCGACCAGGTATCGGTCCCTAAGAAAGATGACACTGTGTCAACAATTTGTCCCTTCGTACATTAGAACGCCTTGCAAGACAAACATAGTCACGAAAAACACATTTCAGTAATCCGTCCATCCGTCAGGCTAATTTGTAGCACATGTGCGTGTTTTTTGCACCGTAAAATATAAGTGTTATTTCATTAAGCGTGTCTTTTGGCCGTTTGTGTTCTAACTTCATTTAATTCGAACCATCACAGTGACAGATTCACGTGTTAATGTTACAACGAATGTGTGAAAACGCTTCGAATAAAACGCTAAAGGTAGATAATGGGTTTTATTGTTATTATTTTCATTAGGACCTTTTTTGGTCGGGATTTATATGGTACGGAATACATTGTTGGTGATATTATTGTTGTTTTAGATAGAGTACAAGTAAATATTTATTGGTTAAAATTCAACGTTACTTTAGTATTGCATTCGTTATTGCAACAAAAAAGCTTTGCATAAATTAATTAAACGCGTAACAGCATTCGTGACAATAACTTCAATCAGTGTTGCTATAACTGCTAACTGCTGGGGGATAGAACAAAGAACAAAGCAACTTTGGAAAAATATGTTTTAATTTCGCACTAATTACGGACATGCAGCCAGTCGTAATGTCGCAGACGCACTGGCAACTAATAACGTCAAACGCCTCATATTGCAAAGGGTTCCAAAATTGAACACGTGTTCGTTCGAAAAATCATGATTACCTCCTAAGGGAGCCAATCACTGCCATTAGAATTAGATATTCGAAATTCAAACGGGTATCAAGTTACTTGGGGTGACAGTTCTGGCAGTTATGGGCATTTGAAAATGTTCACTCGCTTTGTAATTACGTAATTACATGAAGCAATGAGTTTTTTTTGTGCGTAAATAAGTTTAACTGCGAATGATCAAAGGAGTTTTATAGCTTCGGTTGTGTTACGAGCCCAGTAGATAGCTTTATTCTAATATCAGTATATCAAATTAAAAGTACCAATAGTTTACATATCGATAAACCCAAATCGATTGAACTGAGTGCAATCGAATGGTCTAAAAATTTATTAGTTCACGTGTGAGTGAGGGCTATCAATTTCCAACCGACAAAAAACATTAACGGATTAGTTCAAACGGAGTTGCAACAGTTTGGAGTTGGCTGGCCGCGTGTCGTTCTCCTTAAATGCGAAACCCATGTCTCTATAACCGATTTTTTTATTTATTTTTCTTTTGCGACGCGTGTCGACATGTGCCTGTAGTAAATTAGTAGGGGACACGAATCACCCTCGCGAACTTTTTTTAACAAAGATTTTTGAACAATGGAGCGTAACTACTCGCGTGTGAGTTGTAAAGTCACTCCCGGCGGCGTTGGCGTGTTCCGTGGGCAGGATATTCATATATCATATTTTTGAGTAGCTATACTTATTATTTATGAGTTGTCGCAATTTTAAAGAGCACTTTCTAGTAAAGTACGCAAAGGATTGCAATGTAAATTTGTTAGTTAATATATTAAAAAGTCAATACGGACAGATGTTTGCTTGCGTAATATATTCTCACTTAATACCCAGCCATCATTCCTCTCAATAAAATTGAAACGGTGCATCTTAATCCAGATTTCTCATGAAAATAATTAATCATAATAAATAGCTTTGACCTATATTCTAAAACAAACATGTGATCATTAAAAAACTATAAATATTTTTATATAGGTACCTAAATCGTATACCTAATAAAAAGTTATGTCATGGCACATAAAACTAAGGAAGGATATATCGAGTAAATAATGTAATAATCGATACATTGAGTTCTAACAACTATGCAGTAAAGTTAGTTTTATGCCCGATAAAGTAACGTATCGAGATAAACGTAAACAATATTTTATGTTAGTCGCAATCTGCTAAATCTTATTTTTATCTCTGCACGTCTAGGAATGTTAGGCTTTGAAACCAGCGGGCATTAATAGAACATCTTTAGTCACTTCCATTCAAGATAAGAAAGTAGTTAGCAAAATGACCACAGCATAGAAAAGAACCAAAATAACAAGATTGAAAGTTTCTAAACTTTTCGAAGATTCATAAAAATGTATTGAATTTTGTTGCTGAAGTAACATTAGGAGTCCTACTTCAGTGATTTTCATACACTCTTCAAGAAACCAAGAGACGTTACGAGAGGTCACAAACACTATGTTTATTACGTTGCCTATTTGTAACTTTGTCTATTAACTGATTTGCATGAACAACTTACTTAGTTACTACCCGAAAACGCCCCTCTATTACAGATTATCAAAATCGCTGATACGCTATTCGCTTAAGTTGTGGCCACACGCGAGTATCTATGTCGTGAAGCGTATCATATTTGTGCGTTCTTTACGACAGCGTGCGACGGCGACACTTAATTTATGGCTGTCATACTGCCGGTCTATGGTCAATATTTTTTGCTCTATACTTCTATACTCTATGCCATTCATATGACAACTCATGGGTGCTATCATTGCTCATATATTTTTTTCTATGAAAGACTTTTATGTGCCATACTTTTTGGACATAATAGATGATACAGTTTCACCTGCTTTTGTGCAATCGAATAAATTCTTAGTACTTCTAAGCTCTTTGTGTCAAGAGTTATTGATATTGTTTTATGCAATGATGCTGTTCTTCAACTCTTGTTGGATAGCACGTGGGTTTTGAACTATGTATCTATTAAGTCATTTAAATACAAATGGTTTCTGTTGGCTGTCTTTAGTTTAGGCTTTTAGATGTGTCTGATGTTTGATGATAGGTCATTTGAATACTAACCGTACTGTGTTTAGTTTCTGGGAAGAATCTAGTAGTATGATGTAGTGTTAATTATTCATTTACATATTCATTTAGAAATTTAATTAAAATGTAGATATAAGTAAGTACTTATTCAATGAAATTCGATAAATTAGTCTTAGTTAGGTATATGCAATTTTCCACTTTATTAAAAGTGGTATTCTTAAACAAATATTTTGGGCATAGTATACCCGTTTAATATGAATGGCAAAGAAGAAAAATAAAACTTTTTATAAGAATACAAACACGCGAAGCAGCCATTATTTTTGTCACCAAAACCAGACGATAACTTTTTTTTTACTTTTTAAGAGTTTCAGTGGGGTGTAAAGTTTTTTGTAAAATTGTTTCGTAATAAACTAATGTAGGAATGTATACACAATACGTATAACAGAGAATTTACAAAATAATACAAAGTTTGGTTTATTTTTTAATCCTTATTATAAGCTAATCCATGCATGTAACATTATTATTTTTACCAATTAGCTCACCCAATACTTTCCAAAAATACGTAATAAAAATAGGGCTGGAAACACAAAAATCGAAAGATAGCAAATCGAATGGAGATTCAATTATAGATTAGCCCTTGTATCGTACCACATTCACAACTCTGGGACACGTGAATAAATAAACACAATTACCACACACAAAAGAGTAATCCCTATTGATTTCGTTCGCAAAATACAACTTCGCCTATGAAATCGACTCGCATATCGATTATGAAGGTTCATTTTGCTAAAATCGGACACCGAATCGAATTTTTTCCATCGATTTTTTTCTTGTGCTACAATAGCTTGCAGCAACAATAGACATACATCAATTGGAGTGTCAAAAACTAACATCTGCGCGTTCGTTGTAAACAGAGTAAAATAGTGGGGTCTGGGGCAGCCCCAGCTTCAGGGAGCCCTCAGTCCCTGTATGGGCAAGCCTGTGTTTATAGCTCATTATTATTGTGCGACGCTTTAAAGCAACTGCAAATGACATACTCCACCTATTATTAAAATAAACCGTAGGTTAGAAAGGGCTTTTGTCAAGGAATATTTTAAAATAAAGCTTGTGTTGGCGAGAAATTGCAGTGGGTCGAACGTCGCCTTCCATGACGCTTGCTCAACACGCCACTGCATAAACACTTCAAATAAGTGTTTACACAGTAATTTATATTGTAAGGGTCGACATAACACAGGAGTAGCCGTGCTAATGTTCGACAGCAAGACAAAGAATCTGGCGGAGTTTGCAAATTTAATAGTTTACTTTAACAGAAGCATAAAATGTTGTCTGGCTTACTTCAACAATCACGTTCAGAACTGCGTTTGAACAAATTACGTAAGGGTTATTTATTTAAAAACTCGATCAATGAACTGAACCTAAAATAGAATTCAGCGAAACTTTTACGACTTTATGAATGAGAATATCCATGTAAATAAGATTCCATTCTTTTGTTACCAGGTCCAGTGAATGGTGGTATGAGCGATGACTATGTCAGTACTGGTGAAGCGCCGTACATCATTGAGCAGCCGATCGACGTTACAGTAGCGCGGCATCAGCCTGCGACCCTCAACTGTCGAGCTGGAGGTTCACCACCTCCCACCATACGATGGTACAAGGGAGGCGTCCTTGTAGTATCAGACACTCACAGAAGCTTGCTCCCAGCTGGAGGTCTGTTCTTCCTAAGGACCACTCATGGCAGGGCACACTCAGATGCAGGAGTTTACTGGTGTGAAGCCACCAATCCTTACGGCACAGCTAGAAGCAGAAACGCCACGTTGCATGTTGCCGGTAAGTTCGTGTTTATCAATAATTGCTCAGTTGGTATGTAGGTTTCTTTTTGCAAGCAACAATTTTATCTTGATTTGTAAGTGGAACAAACAGTTTAAAATGTTGATATTTGGACCTTTAACCTCAGTTTTCAGATAATTTAAAGGACCTGGTTACTTTTCGTTTGAAAATTTTAAACTTAGTATTTATTTTCATACGTCTTTATCAGAAAATAATGTTTCCTGAGTATTTCTAAATATTTCTTAGTTAAAAGACCTAGTTTCCTTAAAATATAGAAAACTATGTAATTTTATTAGATTATCATTACTTATACTAAAGTGTTCAACATTTTCTATAGTTCTTCGTGAAGAGTTCAGACTGGAACCGGTGTCGACTCAGTCGGCACAGGGAGAGACTGTGATACTAGAATGTTCTCCTCCTCGAGGTTCACCAGAACCAACGGTGTACTGGAAAAAGAATGGACAGATACTGCATTTTGACGGCGATTCCAGGTTAGTAGTACCGACGTAATATTATTTTTAACCGACTTCAAAAAAGTTCTTAGCTTGACCTATATATATGTTTGTCCGCGATTATCTGGCGTGTGGCTGAACTGATTTTGATGCTGTTTTCAGAAAAGGGTTTGTTACACTTAGGAGAAGGTTTTAGTATATCAATTAACCAACCTCAAAAAAGAGGAGGAATTTTAAGTTGGATTTTTTCAACGTAGTTTATAAAAGAATTATTCTATACTATAACTATGTCTTTAATTTTTACTAAACTACAAAACAATGAACTGTAGTATGTTATGTTCTGGGCATAGTATCAGCAATTCAGAAAACATAAAGTTTATAATACTTAGCACGTGAAATTTCACGTTTTTTCCCTCTATTTAAAATTATAAAATACTACATTTTCCAATTTAAGTAGTAATTTAAAAAAGCTCAGTAAATTATCCAAAGTCACAGCATCTATGATAAAAGGAAAATTTAAAGGCAAATTTGAGGGTAGTAAGTGCTCGTGCTGGCGTAGTTGGATTGCAGGAACATGATAGTCTTGAATAGCTACTTCAACAGTCGTTTGATATCGGATATCTTCACATCCTACCCGTAGTTCACGAACATGGATTTAACGCAAAATGGAGTGCTAAGTTTTAGCGGCAAGTTTTAAGATGAATGGATGAAATTCTTCGTAGTGTTTCGGTCTTGAGAGTAAAGTATTTTTGTAAATTGAAAATAAAAATGTAATTAGTAACTCCTGAATACAAATGACGATTATAAAGTCATTTTAAAAACGTTTATTCTCTAATAGCCTTTCAATAAAATTAATTATTATGAATATACAAAATTGCTGAACTTTTAAAGTTATCAAAATTAAAACTTAGATTGTTTCTGTCAATGAAAGTCGTGTAAATGAAAGCAGCTTGTCTGCCGGTTCATTTGTTTAAAAAAATACTGTCGCATTGACTTTTGACAGTTGAAACCTTTCAGAAGTAACCCTCCATTTTCATGCGTTAAATGTTTATAGCCAATCAATCTAAGTACTAATTTATGCGGATCCTAGCTGCTCTGTGGGAACGAACGATCTTTTACGACCGAGACTTGGTAATGGTCGCAATTAACTGCCTGAGAATATTTATAGAGCCTTCGAACACCTGATTAAGATCTAAGACAATAATTTTATTTATAGCGATGTAGCTTTTACGTTTAAAGCCAACGTAGTATTTTATTTCAGATAAATCCACTAAACCCTGTAGAATATTGATGTATTCCACAACTTAACATACAATTTTCAAACACATTAGTATGACAAAGTAAAATTTACAAGCTCAACATTGTTTGAAAATGAGATAAATCTTAACGCGGTGAATTGAATCTCGCTCAAAAGTTATATTGCCAATTTTCACTTTGCTCTCTATGAATTTTTATGAGCTCTATATCTTGAGGGCGCGAGTTACGTATGGTGGAGCATAAAAATAATTAACAGCCGTACGCAGAGAGGGAGGTACATCAAAGTTATAAAGGAAGGGGATATTTGAAGAGCTCGACAAGCAATCAAGTAAAAATCTCAATAGTTCTGACTCACCGGACCCTTTATTAAATGTTAATTTCACATTGAATTATTCCGCCCCACATTTGAATGACTTTGTTACTATGCACTTTGTTCGAAGGAATATAAAGGTTCATTATTAATATTGAAACAATTGTTTACTTTCCGAGCTAAGTATGATGCTTTATTGCCTCAGGATGCATTTAGTCGACGGTGGCAATCTTGTAATACAAGACGCCAGGCAAACCGACGCCGGCAGATATCAATGTATCGCCAGGAATGCGGCGGGAACGAGGGAATCAGCTGTAGCAATGCTCAGAATACACAGTGAGTAACAATTTCCTACCTCGAATTCGCAACTACCAAAGATTTGTTAAATTCAATTCATAACTCTGTAATTTCTGTTTGCGACTCGACATTTGTAAGCCGTTTCTCGCGAACACCTCTTTTGTCATGTAATTCAGAGAGACATTTCTCACTGCACAGTTAAGCCGTACTTAATCACGGGCCCGGAGGACGTTGTGGCGCAGACTGGAGGCAGCGTCACATTCCAATGCCGAGTGGGAGGGGATCCCCTTCCGGACGTGCTGTGGCGAAGGACCGCTGGAGGTGGAAATATGCCACTCGGCCGCGTCAAAGTTCTTGACGACAGGAGCCTGAGACTCGACAACGTTATTCTAGGGGACGAGGGAGAGTACGCTTGTGAAGCAGACAATTCTGTTGGCGCTGTGAGCGCTAGTGGATACTTGACTGTATACGGTATGTTGCTACATCGAAGCTTTTATTCATTATATTTTGCGAATATGTTTTTTTTGTAATAATTATGTTGATTGTTATTAAATTAATACCTTTTCTTTCGTAGATCCTCCTTCAATTACATTGAAACCTAATTCTGTAAATATTGAAACCGGAACAATGGCCACATTTACTTGTTCGGCCACGGGTAGACCCGAGCCGACCATGTTCTGGAGTATAGAAGGAAATAGAACTATAATCTTCCCTGGCACATCTAGAGGAAAATATCACGCTACAACAGTATTAGACGGGGTGACTGTACTAACAATCAACGATACAAATAAAAATGATAGTGGAAACACGATAGTTTGTTCGGCGGTAAACTTTGCTGGCAGTTCGTTTGTCAGAGGGAAACTAACCGTGACGTCAGACGATGACCGCCCACCGCCAATCATAACAAACGGGCCCTCTAACCAAACGTTACCTATAAAATCGATGGCAGTTTTCCCCTGTACAGCGGTGGGCACACCTGAACCAATCATTGCATGGTATTTTGAAGGGGAAGCATTAATACAAAATCATAGAAGGAATGTCACTAATGACGGTACTCTCATACTGAAGGATTTGGACAAAATAGACAGTGGCACTTATACGTGCGTGGCTTCCTCCCATCATGGGAAATACGTATGGAGTGGGGTGTTGCTCGTCGATAGCCCGATAAATCCTAACATTCATTTTTTTCGAGCCGCCGATGTCTCGTCTCTGCCAGGGCCGCCTACGAAGCCGCTTATACACAACGTGACAGAAACAAGTGTTACAATAACGTGGAATCAGAATAACAAAATCGGTTCTTCGTCCATACTCGGTTATCAAGTTGAAGTATTTTCTAGAGAAACACTATCAGGAAGTAGTACACCAAGGAATTCTAGAGGCTGGGTAGTACTGGCGAGGCGAGTGTATCATACGCAATTTGTAGCAAAGTCGTTAGTGCCTGGAGTTACTTACATGTTTATTGTTCGAACGGAAAATTCCCATGGGCTGTCTGGTCCTAGTCCGGTGTCCGATGCGGTAACTGTTGGCGATGATGCAAGCTCTTTGTGGGAATCTGGAGTTTTCTCGAATAATACTGAATTCCGTAACAACATTCTCACTGACAATATAGTGGAATTAATTGAAGCCACACCGATTGACTCAAAAACTATAAAACTCATGTGGGAAATACTGAACTTCTACTACTTGGAGGGCTTATTCATATATTTCAGACCCCAAGACAATATAAGGACCGAGTATGAGATGAAAACTATTTTGCATTCCAACGATGTCTCCGGATATGAAATAACGTCTTTGCGAAAATACACAAAATACGAGTTTTTCCTTATACCGTTCTATAAGAAATTCGAGGGGAAGCCGTCGAATTCAAGAGTGGCTCAAACTTTGGATGATGGTAAATACCCAGTTAGCATTTACATTTTATAAATTTGGCGTTTCTTCCGTGCATTTTTCTAACATTCTATTTTTTTTTTTCAGTTCCTGACGGTCCTCCAATTAACATTGAAATGTTCATTTTGAATACTACGACGGTTCATTTGAAATGGTCTCCTCCAGAAGCGCATTTACAAAATGGAATCATTACTGGTTACAATGTATTGGTTAATTGGCTGGACATACCTGCGAACAAATCCATGGTGGCTATCAACACAACTGTACATCAAGCCACCAGCTTAATTATGACTAATTTGACGTCCGGTGTCAGCTACTCGGTTCAAATTGCGGCTGAAACTATCGTGGGGCTCGGACCATTCAGTCAAAAAGTATATTTAAATATCGATTCTCGCTCCGTCGGACTCGATCCTTTATCCAGGTAAATTCATTTCACAAATAAATTTCACAGAATATAATCGCAAATGAAATGTCATTACATGTAACATCCGATGGACATTCTGACATATTTATTTTATTGCAGATATCCAATAAACGGGGAGGTGTCTATAGTAGCGGGGGATTTTGTTATGGAAACATGGTTTTACTTTTTGATTGGAGCGATTGTTCTGTTCAAAATAATTGTGATTGGCGGCATTATTTACGTTCGGAAGCACAACATTTTCGCCAAAAAGTCAGCACTCCCTAATATTTACGGTAAGTGACAGTGCACATAATATGTACGGCATCCTGCACAATAAAGGTTATATAAGTGCTCGGTACCTATATCTCCTTTTGTTCAATGTTCATCGCTTTCACATAAAACAACCGGCGATGTTAACTCGAAAATAAACAGTTATTCAGCTTATCTGGAAACGCTATTTTTTCCGAGGAATCAGCATCAGAATTTCAAAATTAAAAACATTCCTCGGGTGTCGTGGGGTGGTGCAGGGCGCCGAGCGTTTGTTTGATGGAGGCTTTGCCATGCGACGGTAAGGGAGGGGAGCTAGATTACTTTCGAGTTGAAAGGTAGCGCGAGCCCTCTCGTGAGCGCAGTGGATCTCTTTCACTTTGCATTCACGTTCGGGGCACAAAGGAATGATACAAATCCGAGAAATAAAGACCCAGTAAATGTAAATGTTTTCTATTTTGTTTTCTCCAGGCGATTCGTTTGTTGACTCACCCAGTTACCTTTAAGCCAATTTCCCTCGCTTTGTTTGTTTTATATTGCGTTTTACATCTTTTAAGTATTCAGTAAACGAGATCATTTGCATTCGGCTTATGAAATGGTTGTCAAACGATATTATAATGAAGGGAAATCCTTGGTGTGTCTAATTGGAGATGTTGTTTTAGATTCCAACGGCACGAGCTTAGTGACTCAAATGAACATAAAAGCCGCAGTGTCTTTGTCACATCCACTCAGTAGTTGTTACAATAAGAACACTGTGACAAAGACTGAGTCACTGTTGTGGATGGAGAATCAGCCAGGATTGTGTATGTCCGGCACTCAAACCAGTCAGAGCAAAGAGAAAACTAACTCAGAGTACGACAAAGTTACTCACCAATTACCTGAGTATGCAGAAGTGACGTCTTCACGAGCAAATGCAAATGAATGGAACACAAGTAAAACTGCCACTTCACCGGCGGCCTATGCCTCGGTTACTTTGGTTGCCAATACCAGGCAATGTGTGAGTTCATTGGTAAGTGTCCAATTATATAATGTTCTCGATTTCGAAATTTTGAAGCTCTGCCAAGTTGAAGTTTGTGCCATTTAATTTATTCACTCAACTGTTTGAACGTCAAGTAGTGTTGAAGTATCACTTGTTCGGGATGTAATTGACGCCTGGGGATTGGCAATTTAACTTTATATTGAGACAAACGACTGCCTATTATAGTCAGTTGTATTGTTCACTATATAAGTATTGGGTATTGTGAACACACAGTAAATGATATTTGTATTATATTGTACTAATAAAACTTATTTCAACAGGGCTGGTTTCCTCCCACCGGGAAGAATGTCGATTCTTTCGATAATCGATATGCGCCTGAAGAGGAAATGTATCCAGCTAGCAACGGAGGGTACTATAATAGAAATGTGTACAGCGAAAAATATTTCCAAGGTCATCCAAACGTATTGAAGTTTTACGACTTGCCTTCTCTAGAGAAAACTCAGAAAGCTCAGATACGATATAATCAGAGTTTGGACGATCGAAAAGGGGACAAAAATTCAAAGACTGACGCAACTCAATCGCTAATAGGTCGTACCTATGGGATTAGTTCTAGAAAGAATTCTGAAACCGAATCGACATATAGAGCTTTCGGTGAAGATGAAACGGATGAGGAGAATTATCCTGAAGATGGTGGTTACGATGAGTTGCAAGCGATGCAGCCTCAGAGGCAGAGACCACAGCATCAGTACGAGAGGCCTAACTTTGACAACGATGCGACGCGGACGCTTGCCCGGCTGACGTCATTCAGGCAGGGACAGGGTCTGTCTGGCAGTGCCAAGACGACCCTCGCCCCGACGCACCCCCCACCTGCGCCACACCCCCGGGTTGACTCTGTAACTCGGTAGTATCACGCCTTGCCGGTTTTCGGCGACCTGTGCCAAACGGACGTATAGACCGATACTTTCCTAGTAGTGTAGTGACGTCACTGAGATCGCAGTTCTTCCTCGTGTTGTGCACTTACTGAACATTTGTGTAAAGAATCGTGATTAGTTTTATTTTAACTTTCTGTGGACTGATAAGGCCTAAAATTGTGATTTAAAAAGTGACTGGCCTAGTGATGACAGCGTATATTTATCCGAAAAGTGATTGATTTAAAATTTCTATTAATATATTTTGAAGTATTCCTAGTCCTTGTAACTATAGATTTATTATTTGTAAATAATGTAAATAACTATTACTAGTTTAACGAATAATGTTCTTGGAATAACTAAACTTTATGAAGTTTAATATCAATTCTGATAAATGTTTACAATGTTATTATTGGAATTGTAAATTCAATTGATATGTCCGTCTGAATATCAATACACGAATTTGTAATCCTATATCATTAGTGTAAGTGTAACAAAAGTATGAATAGAAACAACAAAATTAACGCTTGGCAATAATTTGAAATAACATAACCTTATTAAACCATTCATAGCATTGTAAATAATACTAATAATAATAGATAATAATAGACTTGGATTGTTTCTAATAGTATTTTATTTTGACATTGCATTCAGAAATAAATTAATTTATTCATTAAAACCTATTATTAGTTCTATTAACTGTATTAAAATTAGTATTATTATTTAGTTTATTTCACGTGCCATATGTAGAGATCATAGCTAAATAAATAATAATAATAAAGTAACATTGGAGTTGTGAGATAAAATTCAAATGAAGCTTTTACAAAACTAAAAATTATAATCTACGTAAGATCATGTGATATGAGTTTATATAGCCACTTGTTATAATATTAAATAGCACGACTTGTATGGCATATCAAATGTATTAGTCATGTAATAGTTAAAAATGTTATTAATTAGGATGCTTCCATATCTGAAATAAAATTAAAAAATAATTAAAATGTGTATTCGTCCTTCATTTGTAAATAAATGTAAGATGGAGCTCGCCTTTTGTAAAATTACTTCGAAACTTATTTTTTCTCTTTCGACTGTTAAACAGAGTATTTTGGGCTGAGATCACAAGATCGCGAGTTGTGGTGACAAGCTCAAGCGATGAGCACATTAATCTAAATGAAGAACGCTCACTGGATTCTTTGAAACACGTTCATCGAACAACTTTACGTGTTGTCGTTTAAACTGATATTATTGGTGACCTAATTAGTGAAGCATTATTAAGATTTTGAGGTTTTAAATAGGCAGAGCGGGATTTGGAAAATTAGAACTAATACTTTCTTAACAGTTTGCCGGGGCTTCAGCTCGGAAAGCAGAAGTAGGAACGGGGTGATTTTCAGTCAGTAAGAGTCTGACACTTTCTCTCGTTTCATCCAAGGCGGCAGAAGTCATTGGATAATTTCCCTCCTCAATAAAAGGATTAAGACGACTTATAACAAATCGATTAAAGTGTAATCGATGTCCTATGTAAATGTGGGTGTACGTAAGAGGAATCATTCCATAGAGCCCCAATAATAGGTAGTTTACGCGACTTGAAAATCTGATTATGTGCCCTTTGCTCGACAGTCTCAGTTGCGTTTAATCGACTAATGAGTATGACTATTTAATACTTGTAAAGATAGACTATAATTATAGATCATATGTGACGTTTTCGTTTAGATTGTCACCACTATTGCTCTTGTGTCCTTGGTCACCTTAGATACCTTGCTTTGCAAAGTTACAGTTTCATATAAAACATAGAGATTAGACTGCAGATAAAACTCTTCGTAGTTCCTATTATCGCACTCTGTTGGATAATAATAATAATCAAAGCAATAGGCATTTCACGTAATAATACTAAAAGATTATTTATTAATAATAATAATAGTATGTACGAAATAATCTGTTTTGTTGACTCTTTTCAGATTTGCGAAACATAATTATGTCACAACGTAATTTGATTGATTGTCTCCGATATTTATTTTATGTTACATTTTAAAGACTGCATACACATCATCATCATATATAAGATGCATGAACTTTTTAAATTCGTGAATCTTAAAGAAAACTGAAAAAAATATCCTTTTATGTCTAGTTAGACACTAGCTAACTAGAATATTGCCGTGAGACATAATAAAAATGACGAACGTGAAACAGTGTGTGTACTTTAAGGACACCCCATTTTACGTCATCAGAGAACAACAAACGCAAAATAATACAATACATCTACTTGATGATGTGTAGAATTACTTTAAAATTGTTCATCAATACGAACATATTCCTTAAAATAGCAAGGTGTCTTTTATACAAAATGTATTAAAATAATGTAAAAGCAATGTAAACTGCCATAAGGCCTATTTTTATGTCCGATACGTCATGCTAAGACCATTACAATGAAATAGACGGAATCACAATAAAAACATAAACTCGATGGATTTTAATTTTTGTATTAGTCTTTGGATACCTATTTTTTAATAAAATAATTTAAATACTAATTGAAAAATGTGTTTTATTATTATTATTACGATACATGTCATTATTTATCATCAATTTCTATTAGAACCAGTTATCACGTATCAGTTTTCAGTTACCAGGTACCTACTTATTTGAGAGCGGTGAAACTGACCCTGTTCGTATTCTTTCTGAAGTTAAAAATTTGTGCAGTACTTATGATTGAAATTAGAAACTGATTTACCCTGTCTAACTACAGTAAATGATGGAGATAATAAGGTAGATGCCTAATTTTTATTTTAATGTCCGTCTGGTAGATTATTAAATCATTAGACACATATTTTTTATTTTACGATTACTTATTACGAATTTCGACAATATATTGGTTTGAAATGTCGCGTGACGTCACTTCTATGTACATTTTATACGTAGAAATTACGTTTTAGCCTCCACTCCCAAACTTTGATTCGTTTTATCTCAGTATTGTTTTATTATACGACAAAATAAAAAATACGTGTCTAATATTTTTTCATTACCTAACTTAAGGACTAATTAGATTTTTAATTTTCATATCCTGTCATCATCCCAATTATAGTAACAAAGGATGTTAAATATTTTAGTAAAAACTTCGGAAACACATTGATAAAGTCTGGAACACCGGATTGCTGTGAATTAAACTTGACTACAAAAGGAAATGGTACAAATGGGAAAAATATTATACTCAACACTGTAACGTAACATCCACGTTACAGAGTCGTTACAGAGTCCATAAATCTTTATCAAAGTTACAATATTATTATTCATCCATTATCCATTAGACATTGTATAAAGGACCTTATCGACTTCTATTCTGTTCATATACTATGTCGTTACAATAATAAGGAAATACAATACAATTGATGACAGATATGCGAATCGATCTCTAAGATTGAAAATACTTTGACAGCTATAGGGGTGCAAATCTGTGCAATTTTAAACCGGTCGTGGTTAACGCAGCTTTTCGTTCAAACTGTATGGCTGTGGTCAACTGTCATTCGCAGATAAAACGAGAATTTTGTTGAGTCGGGTGTTCAAATGGATTGATTTTTTTAAATTTTAAAGTTGATGCATTCGTGATCGCTACAATACGACTATTAGCTTATGAAATAAAAACATCTAATTTAGTGTCAACAGAAAACAATGATTTGGTATTCTTCTTTATTTATACTCGAATTGGTCACAACAAAACGTAGCAGTCAGATACTCAACAAAACAAAACGAGGTGTCAAAACCAACCTCATTAATTAACTCAAAAACACATTTGTCTTTTTTGGAATACCTCTCACGTATCGCTCTTTCCACATGACACTCAAACACGATTAAAAATATCACTTCTGTGCCAGCAAACCGCGGTCAAAAGCCATCATTGCCGTCCTTATCTAACTCCCATTAATTAAATTCAATGGTAGACACCAACAAAAGCATTACGTATGAATGAGAATTTAAATCGGGCCAAACATGAGCACGCATTGTCGGTAGCTTCATTCAATTTATGGCTGCAAATCTCTGTCGTACAGTCTTCGTAAGTATATTATTGGCTGGTATTTAGCAGGTTTGCGGGCAATGGGCCAGTCTGTACCAGGCAGATAGCTTACATACAGTTAATACATATGCCGATTGGATTTCGCTTTGTCTTGTAGTGTGGGGGCTGACATTGTAGTGATGTGCGGATTTGTATCGAATATACTGTGTTCATTGGCATTTTTAATTAACGTCAGTTTCAATTTCAATTCACATTTGCTGTAATGTGAGTGTGATGCCAATGGGATTGTTGACAGTGTTTATTGTTTGTCCATTGTATGTGTAGCGTACGTATTTTTGTCATCGAATTACATGAAGGTGAAAATGATATGAAAATACTTTGCATGTGTGTGTTACATGTGATTGGAATACTCTTTTGATGGGATTTTTTGTGTTTGTACTTTAACACTAAACTGAATCGCAAATCGTGAGAAAGTTGTGACTCTAATTATCTTGAAGTTTAGGTATTTTAGTAGCCGTAGTAGGCTTTTGGATATCAAATGTATTAACTAACAATGCGGTCACAGTCTTACTAATACATACATAATATAACATCTCGCCTTTAACCCCGGAGGGGTAGGCAGAGGTGCACACAGAAGTAACACCCACTTTTCACTATTTATGTTATGAGTCCCATGTAATAGGGGTGAGCATATTGCCATATACCGGACACAATTCCAGACTCCGTGCTACTACTGAGATTTGTTTAAAAACCCAGTAATACTTTGCCCGAACCGGGAATCGAACCCGAGAGCCCTCTGCCAACGACGCAGTCTACTGTGAAAAAAGTGAGGTATGATGATGATAATAATATATTAATAAGTCTTACCTGATCCAAAGGTTTACGAATGAACACATCACATGTTTTTACAATATTTATCGTGAGATATACTGAATTAACTAAAAATGCCACCTTACTCATTTTACTGTACGAGTTAGATATCGTGTACGTGTAG